TTTATCCTTTAAAAAGTATAGTTTAAAATCTTTGGTTTTTTTTTTTGTTTTTTTTTTTACCGGATCGTTCATTTCGTTTCCAAAAAATCATTAGATTTATACTATTTTAGAACTCAATTTGAGGACAAAATGCAAATATAAGTTTGAAATCATAAGAATTTTGGACTCAATTTTAAGACCAACGGCAAAATGTGTTTGTAGTGATTTAAAATGAATTCACATCACATGTGCATAGAAAAACAAGGTTGCATACTAATATTTAGAAAAGTATAGAATGAGACCGTTTACCTTTGGTCTCATTTTATGTGGTCACATTAATCTTGATCATTGGATGTGAATTTGCGTGGCTCAATTATTCTATTGACCAAGCTCAAACTTTTAAAGAATTTCTATCGAACTTGTGACACATCTAAGATATCAAATTTCACATTAAATGGTTGTAAGTAGTTGTGACCACCTTATATATCTCATTGTATATAATCCCATAATATTTTTTTAATACTTATAATAAGTGATCTGCCTCGATTTTTAGTAAAGATCCTAAGGTGCATATTAGAGTGACGTCTTTATGATCTATTTTTGTATTCCATTTTGGACCGGATTTTCAAGCCCCGAAAGCAAATGAATGATATGCTTATGTTGGAGCATGAAGTCTTTTGGCTTCAAATATATCATAACGAAGTTAATTTTTTGGAAGGAATTCTAATTTAAATAAAGTAGAGGTGGCAAGAAGTCGGGTCTGTATCCGGGTTGGCACCAACCTGGCTAGGTTTCATATGGACCAAGACGTAACCTAGTCCCGGGTCGGGTCTAAGTCATTTAAACTCAGACTTGACCTAGACCCAGGACTAGAAAATTAAACAATAAAATTTGCACTTTATAAGTTGTGTAATGTATATAGTTTATATATCAACCCCAAACCCAATCCTGACCCAAGCATATAAGATCCAAGCCAGACTGGGTTCCAGACCTGACCCCGGGCAGGTCCAAGTCAATTGGACGCTGACCCAACCCGCTACGTCCAACACAAGACCCATATTTGGACCCGTTGGTCACGGCAAGTCCACCCAACCCGATTCGCGCTCTTAAAATAGAGTCCAATAATTACGCTAATTATCTTAAAGAATTTTATTTTCTCTGAGCTCTAACTTTTGGAAGCCTAATGTCTATTTTCAAACCCTAAGAATCTACCATTCTCGCCTAACATTCCAACCTTGAGTATGACGCACGTGATTTTACTTCGGATCCGGAAATTCTTTTGTCCTCCATGTATATATTATTTTGTCGTCTTTTTTTATTCTCGATTTTTAAATGGTTTCATGCGGGCTTAACCGCATTTCTACATACGAAAGTATAAAGCATCCATTTTAATGGTTTCATGCGGGCTGAACCGTATTTCTACAAATGAAAGAATAAAGCATCCATTTAAATGATGGATGTAAATATGTGGTTAATCTAAAAACACTTGAAATTAATGGTTCAAATGTTTTATTAACAAAATTATTATTTTTAAATTTTTAATTTTTTTTATTCTTTTATATTCACGATCTCCATTATAGCAATCACATGTCTTTGAAAATCAAATCCAAAAATCCGATCTCAAAAATAAATTTATTTAGAGGCCCGCATTTCTACATGTGTGGGCTGCGCCGGCATGCTAACCGCATCATTTTTAAATACCGTTAGTCCTCGTGTGTTTTGATAATCTCAATGTCCTATCAAATCAAATACAATTATTTTCCCCCTACTGTGGCATTGATTTGGACGTGAGAAGTGCATTTCATGTGCGCTCTTCGTGAATTTGACGTGGAATATGACTCTCAACACTTGAAAAGTGCACTTCATGCGCGCACTTCGTAAATTTGACGAGAAATGTGAATCTCAAGACTTTAAAAGTTTTTGTTGAGAGTTGAGACATTGATTTTATTAAGGGTGTGGTTTCCATATAGCCTAGGCTCGGACCAATTAAATTAGAACCTACCCTCAAATATTGTCAAGAAATGTGGTTTCAGTGTTGGAAATCACTGTAATAGTCTTAAAATTTATTTTCATATTTATTTATAAAGTTTAAAGTTTCAAAAATAGTATTGATCAATAGATCTATAAAAACTTCAAAATAGACGATAAAAAATGCATTACACAATACACTATTTTCAAAACTTAAAATCTTTTTTTTTCTCATGTCCATGTATCTTGATGTCGAGATGATCAATTTGAAGATATTTGGGCATCAAAACAACCTCTTCTAATAAAAATTTTGAGATAGGCTCAAATTTGATTATTTAGATAGAGACTTGGCTCTATATAAACTTTTCCTTTTTACTAATAAAAGAAAAATCAAATCTGCATCTTGTGTGAAGCTCGAAATTCCCTATTCTCAATGAAAAATAGATCTATGTTAATTTAGAATGTATTTTAGATCCCAAATGCCTTGAAAACCAAGAGGAACGCATGAGCATAATTTTGACTACAGTCAAATTAAATTGGAGCAATCAAACTAAATTTAACTGTTGTAAAAGCAAACTAACAGGGTAAGCTACCTTTTCAACCTTCATGGTTAAATGGATAGATTTTATTGTGAAAAGACCTAGTACTGGATAGTTGATGGGTAGAGCCGAACGGTACAAATTGTACAAGTTATCAATAAACGAGGGGGGGCGAATTTGCTTGCTTGGTAGCTAGTACAATATACCGCACGTGCGTGGTCACCGACTGTCTTCTTGCTTTATAACTTTATGTTGGGTCATGTGTTTTGTGGCTTGGCCTGAGCACCATGCTGCAATTGAGCCCCAAACCACTCTCTCATGTTTCACATGCACAACTATGGGGTTGGTATTGTCTTCTAACTATTAACAGTAAATGTTGTTCTTTTTTAATTTTATTAAAAACCATAATCCTACTTTTAACCTACTGTGAGCTCACTTATATGTTCTAACGCTTGAGCCATATATCCCCATTTAAGCAAAGTAATCAGAAAAAACAATCACCTAAAGACCATGCCAAAAGTAAAGAGGTAAAAACTAATGTCCTTGCGAAACATATAGTGACATATGCTTTCTTTTTCAAGTATGCGTAAATATCTCGTGACCACTGGCCTATGGACAAATGCAAAATGGACGGTCGGCAAAAGTGATGGCGCAAAATTGTGTACGAGTTTATTTTGACTTTATTATAGAAAGTAACGTCGAATGCACCCTAAATTTTGCACACATTTTTTAATTAGTGTCCGTGCTCTTAATAACGATTGAAGGTTCAATTGCTTCAACCATTTTTGTCGTCTAAATAGATATTTATCTTTTAGGATTTGATCTAGTCAAAATTGGTCTGATTACCCATTGGATTGATTTGATTAGATTTTAAAAATTTTATGAAAAAAACATGAATGATAATCTAAATTATATATATTAGGAAAGAGGCGTTGTGCACTTTCTTTAGCTAGTTGAACCAGTCGAGAATAGTTGGTCGAATCAATAAAAACCGATCAAACACTCATTTGGACCGAAGATTTAATTTTTACTCTTACACGAAACCAACCAAGGCGGAGGGCCTATTCAATCGGGTATTGATAATCATGGTTTTCTATGCGAGATGGGTCACACAATTTGCTGTGTGTGGGGACACATCTATTGGATTGCTCCCTGACATTTGTACTATTTCAGTGCTCTTGGGTACATAATTATGCGATTGCTTGACATCTGCACCGTCTATTTAAATAGACGATGTAGTTACTCACCTTGAATTGACTGCATCTGTTGTATACACAGTGCAGATACGAGGAGACGCATTAAAAGTATTCCGGCCAGCGCTCCAAACACTTTTCTCCCGATCTTTAACTGCGGAAGGGAAAAACTTGATGTAAGGATACAAATATACTTATAAAGTTGCAGCAATTTACGCCATTCGATGATGTGGATATCACATTATGTTAAGGACCCAGTTTCTATGTGTCCAAGCCCTCATATGTACAAGTGCGGGCCTCTTAATAAATTTACTTTTGAGATGGATTTTAAATCTTAATTTTTAAGGACTTGTAATCTCTAACATGGAGATCATGAATATGAAAAAATAAATAAATTTTAAAAATTAAAAGTAATAATTCTAATAAAAAAACATTTGAACCTTCAGCTTTCATTATTTTTAGATGGAACACCTACTTGCATCCATCTTTAATATGGATGCCTTACACTTTCTAGACCGCATATGTAGAAATGCGGTCGAGCCTGCATAAAACAATTTTCCTTATATTAAAGGACGTGTTACTTTTTTTATTATCTCAAAAGATAGAGTGATCCACATACGGACTTTAAAACTTTAGGCAAATACAAAATACTCTACTTTATATGTGAAAGTTATAAAGAATGTCGGCAACCCCATTTTTTAGGTTTTTCAAAATTGTTTATCAGTCAACCCGAGTTTTTTAGTAGGGTAGTGCCTTAAAATTTGGAGCACTACCTTACTAACAAAAAAACTAAACAAAAATTTAAAATTCGGGTTAACTAAGGGGTAATTTTGAAAAAAATAAAAAAAGCCGGTTGATGGACCGTATTTGAAATTTCTACCAATAAGCAAAACATTTTGTATTTTACCTAAAATTTTAAGATTTATTTATAAATCATTTGTCCAACTAAAATAGATGGTATAGAAGACCATAACCTTGCAATTTCTATAAACAACACCTAAAAGAAAAACATAAAGAGTTATTTTCCAAAAGGATTTAGCTCAACAATATTGTAAGGCGCAGATATGATGCCGTTCATTGGACAGATATTTTTATCCAATCTCTACGGTCCAATGAAACTTCGTGGGATGATGATACCTGGTCCCAAAAAGACGAGAGCGCAGTCTCATGACTTCTATTTGTTTCTTTTTTGAAGAAAAAGAATGAGGTGACAAAAAAAAATATCTATTGAGTTTGAAAAGATACCCACGCAGAGTAATAATTGTACTAAATAAACACTGCACGATGTTCACATGGTCTTTCATAAAAAGTCCTCTCTCTCACTCTTTTCCCACCCTATAAGAAGTGGGTCGAGGGCGAGTTGAAGGGGGCAGGTGAGGTTAGAATGGGTTTAAGCAAAGAGATGGGTTTGTTTGTGGGGTTTGTTTGCTACTTGGTTTTGGGCATTACTGGTGCGTATGCAGCCGGCGACCTGGGTTATCACACTTTCGTAGTTAAGTATTTTTTCTTCTTTTTCTTGTGATTCTGATTTGTCCTTAGTTGCTCTCTACTGTTTGTGGAAATTCATTTACGAGCGATACTAATCTCAAACGTCTCTTTATTTTTTTTGTTTTTTTTGGGTAATTCAATGGGGAATACTACCTTTATGGTTTTTTAATAGATTAAGGAGAATTACATTTCGAAGGTGTTAATTAGGGGTGTCAAACGGTAAGAATGGATACCAGGATGTGGTAACTGGATGCAAAGATGCTAAGTGTTAATTAAAGGTGTCAAATGGTTAGACTGGATACCAGGATGTGGTAACTGGATGCAAGGATGCTGCCGCCACGACTCCGGTCCCTTTCCTAGTTTAGAAGCCCGTGTGTGGGTGTGTTCAGGCGTTCTCTCTCTCGTTGTTATGGACTGTCATGGTCGGTTCGGCCATTTAATGTCAAAAAGTATCGGCCCTCTGAGAGACAGAGATGGGTGGTGTTGGGTGTGTGGTTGCTGGGAGGCGGGCCTTCCCAAAGCCTAGGAGCGCTCTATTTTGTTTCTATATCAACTAATTTTGTCTTTAGGAATTTGTTTCTTAAGATCAATGGGCTTTCAAAAACATGGGCACTTGAGAGTTAAGATATATGGGATGAGGTCCCTGGTAGTGTTTGAAAACTTGAGTATTCCCAAGTAGGCTACTTGCCTGAGTACTGCCGCTGATCCGGTGACTAAGTACTCGGGCGAGTAGTCAACTAGTAGGCCAGGCCGGGTAGTGTTGTACTCGGCCGAGCCGAGTTGGGCATTGCCCAACCTCTCTCTCACAGTTGGGCAAGGGGCATGGAGCACTCCGCCCATATTCTCCCTCTCTTACTCTCGGGGTTGGGGTAGGCTCCTGCCCTAACTTCTCTCTCTCCCTCTCTCACTATGTTTATGTATGGCCCTTGCCCCAACCCTCTCTCTATCCCTCGGTTGGGGCAGGGCCAAGCCCCAACCCCTCTCTCTCTCCCCCAGCCCGTTCGGACCCCTCACCCTCTCTCTAGCGCTCTCTCTCTCTCCTATCTTTTGAGGCAAGCCCTAACTCCCTCTCTCTCGGCAAGAAAGCCCAACTCTAGCTAACTACTCAGACCTGAGTATTGTGGGGATAAAAAATGTTAAAAAAATATAAATAAAAAGTAAAAAATTCCAAAAAAAAAACTATATTTTAAATAAAATAAAATACATTTGAATATGATAAAAAAATAGATTTGAAAAATCAGTTTCGGACTAAGGTATTTTCAAACAATAGGAAAATGTAAAAATAAGTAGTCATGGCTAAAATACTTTCCTAACTTCGCTAAAATGACAGAAAGCATAAAATATATATATATATATAGTTTTCTTTATTTTTTGTGGAATTTTTTTTATGTACTTTTTAAAAAAATTTAATATCGAGCTCACTCGATTTTTCAGACAGCGGTCTATGCTTCCCCCTCTTTATTTTTCAGACAGCGGTCTATGTTTCCCTCTTTGCATGGGAGAGGGAGAAAGGGGTTTTGCGCATGAGTCATCACAAAACAGCTCCATTACTTTCGTTACAACAGCTGGCAATCGCTTTTAAAGTTTTACCATTTCCATGCTTCATCTTATGGAAATACGGATTACAAAGCAATGTAAATATACGCTGGTATACTTTTTGGGGGAACACGAGAAAGTCCTTCACACGTATGAACTGTCCATTGGACCACACGTGTGTATTGACGATCGAGCTTTAAGGAGGGGGTCAATCCGCCACGTGGGCTCGGCTGATTTGATCTGGACCGATTGCTATTTATTCAACTTTTTTTTGGATTTGTTTTTGCTTTTTTTAAAAAAAAATTTACTTGGCTCCGTGGTTCGTCAACGCGCGCTTGACCGATTAGCGGGAAGAAAACCATACGCGCTAGCGTGCACATAGGGTTACAAGCCAGCACAAACAAGTAGGAACCGGTGTCACTTGGGCTCAAAACCCTGGTTTATCCGAGCCTGAGTCTGGTTTTTCAAGGCCGATTTGGAGACATCACTAAATCCTGTTTTCTCCTTATCTCTCTCTACAGGTTCAATCGACTCCTTACACAAGATTGTGCAGCACAAAGAACATACTCACTATCAATGGGCAGTACCCGGGGCCAGCTCTCCATGTCCACACAGGAGGAACTCTCATAGTCAATGTTATTAACAACTCCACAACCAATATTACTCTTCACTGGTCTCTCTCTCCTATGCTTGAGATATTTATTTTTTTGGATAATTCAGTAGGGAAGATAACCCCTACCGGTTTTTTCAATTTCAAATAGTTTACAAGTTAGTTTTTGAAAAATTTAATAGGGTAGAGGGTAGTGTAAGTGGAAATGAAAAACACAAGCGGGTGACTGGGTTGTGGGGGTGCTACCACCACGACCCCGGCCCTCTCCCATGCTTGAGATACTTTGTGTTGTATCTTTTCAATAAAAAGAAAGGCAAAAATGATGATTGTGGGTTTTTGGTGGTGCAGGCATGGATTGAAGCAGCCAAGGAATCCATGGTCCGACGGTCCTGAGTACGTAACACAGTGCCCAATCAGACCAGGACAGAATTTCTCTTATAGGCTTATATTCTCTGATGAGGAAGGGACCATTTGGTGGCATGCGCATAGTGATTGGAGTAGGGGCACGGTTCATGGTCCCATCTTTGTGTACCCGAAGAATGGGACTGGCTACCCTTTCCCCAAGCCGGCTGGAGAGATACCCATCATATTAGGTATGGGAAATTTTGACTGACATAATAAGGGTATTTTGATTATTTTTATTTGATTGAGTTGAAAGGAAATTGAGGACATTTTGATCACTCGAAAAGGGATATATTGGTAGGGAATCGAGGATTTTGGTCACGGTGAGATGGTGGAGCAGATCTTTGGTCCTTTGGCATGTAGGAACCAATGAAGTAAAAGTATTGATCTGGTCCATTGTTTCAAAAATCAAACAGATGGGTTTTCAAAAATCGAACAGATGGGTTCAATTGCTCACCAGCTACTTTTCAGCTAGGTTTTTCTTTTTCTTTTTTACTGATAACTAAAAAAAAAAGGATAAAAAGGGGTATGGGTGGCATCGGCAGGGTTGGGCCAAGAATAAATGAAGCAAAAATAAGAAAAGAAATAAAAAAAATAGGGTCGGGCCTAACCGAGCCGGTCAGTCACCGGCCCCGGCCGTAGCCCGACCCCCATGCCAGAGCTTGTCGCCTAAGCTGTATTGGGGCCGAGCCGAGCCGAGCCGACCAGGCCACTGCTAGGTAGGGGGCAATAGTAGAGGTGTGGGAAACAAAAAGAAATAAATTCCCCATAATCATCATCTATTTTCATTGTTTGACAGGAGAATGGTGGAAGAATGATGTCATGGAGGTTATGGAGACAATGCTTGAATCGGGAGACGAACCTGAGATTTCAAATGCCTACACTATTAATGGGCAGCCTGGAGATCTTTACAATTGCTCCCAACCTGGTACCACTTATCAACTTTGAATTTATTTTTTTCCTTATATATATATATCTCAATTGGGACTCGTGAAATTGTAACTCGTGAGATTATATCTGTAGATGTGACAACAGTCAGTGACACTTGCCACCCAAATCACCTTTGCCTAGAGCCATTTCTCTTTTACCATTTTCGGTTCACGGGAAATTTTTTTTTACGTGTGGGAATATTTTATACGAATTAACTGTGAATTGATGTGAAAAAATGCACTCGGACCGATTGTTTAAAAATCTGTTCACACCTGACCACATGATGCCATTGTTTCATGTAAAAATATTTTTCAGGAAATATTTCATATATTACATTCGAAGATCTTAAACATATTAAATTCTTATGTAGTCTCATAGGATGATGAATAAATTTATTCTTCACCTTGTCTCGCTAAAAGTAAAGGATTTGGTTTATATAATTTACCTAAAGAAATCTGAACCCTTTTCAACAAAAATTTAACATGCTGCTTTTTTTTTTTCTTTTTGCTTTTTACCTGATATATTGATTTGATTTTGTTGGCTCTCAAAATCCCAGAGTTGGCGTCCTTAAAAAATAGTGTTCGACAAATCGAACCCGACTCGGAAACTGGCCAAGGGCCGGGTCCGATTAACATGTAAACCTGCCAGGTCACTCAGCCCAAGCGGGCAGGTCACAGCGAGTCCAAAAAGTGCTGAAAAAAATAAAAAAAAGTAAAAAGAATTTGTAAAGCAATATTAAATAAAACACATCTAAAGGAAGTTGAAAAGTAGTGAAAAAAATAGATTTTAAAAAATCGATTTGTGTCTATAGGTATTTTAAAAATAATCCAAAAAAAAAAATGTACAAATGAAGTTTCATGGCCAAAACACTTTCCAATCTTTACCAAAATGGTAAAAATTATTCAAAAACACATTACAAACAAATCCTGTTGGACCACTTAAACATGCCAAAATCAAATCTTACCTGGTTTCAGTTTGACCGGCCCGTTCTAAGTAGGACCAACTGACTTTTCTAAGTTCAATTTTGACTTAACGCATTAAAAACCCAATTCAAAAAAAAAGTAGGGGCTCGTAATCCCCACTTAATTACCCAAAAAGAAAAACATAATGCATTATTCCCTTAAACATTTCTTTGAAGCTTTTTCAAAGGAAAATTGTTTCATGCGTTGGAACGCATTTCTACAATATACGGTCTAGAGGTATAAAGCATCTATCTTAAAGATGGATGCAAATAGGTGGTCCTCCTAAAAACAAATATAAATAACGCTCCAAATGTTCTTTTAATATCATTATTATTTTTAATTCTCAAATTATTATTATTATTTATCTTCATGATCTTCATGTCAAAGATAATATATTATCTAAAAATTAAAATCAAATTATATTTAAAAAATATATTTATTGCATTTCTAAAATATGCGGTCCGGTCGCATAGAAACCGTGTCCTTTCCCAATATGACCTACAAATCCAGGACAAACAGTCTTAAAAATACAAGGCATTATTATTCCCTTAAACAGTATTTTGAAGATGTCTTACAAATTCAAGACAAAAAGTCCTCGTTCTAAGAGCGTACAACAATAAAGTCTTTTAGAAAAGTGTCCAACAGTATCTCCCAATAGTACTAAATAACAGACCTGGTCACTGAAGATGTGCAAGATCCTTTTGCACTCAAGTAATGGGGTCCCATGACTTGCACCACCAAGGTTAGATTGTTTACCATTACTGCTTCTCCCTTTTACCAAGTTGCAATCATGAAACACACATCCCATTGTTTTGTTTTACTTTTCTCTCGGGTGATTTATATACGGATTCTAAACTTTTAGGTAAAGAACAAAATGCTTCGCTTTTAAAAAGAAATCACAAACTAAGGTCAGTCAATCGGTTTTTTTTTTCTAAAAGAAGATTACCCCTCGATCAATTGAATTTATTTATTTGTTAATTTTTTTTTAGTTTTGTCATTAGTAGGACAGTGCCCCAAACTTTAAAGCACTACCATGCTAACAAAAACCTAAAATAAATAAATAAAATAAAATAACACAACAAAATTTGGGTTGATCGAGAGGCATTTTTAAAAAAAATAAAAAAAATGGGTTGACTGAGCTCTTTGTAATTTTTGCCTATAAGTGGAGCATTTCATATTTTACCTAAAATTCTAAGGCCCCTATGTAAATCACTCTTTTCTCTTTTGTGGTAGGTTAGGTGAGTTGGGATTCAAAGCACAGTTGAAAATTAAGCTTGGAAACATTTTTAAAATTAGGCTATGTGAAATCCTTTATAAAATCATGAAAAATTGAAGAAAAGTAAAATCTACAAAAAAAAAATTGTTAGAAATTGATGAAAATAATTTTCTATTGCCCTCCATTTTTTTGGTGCCATTAACGAAGCACATGATATGATAAGATACTAAATTTTTCTTTACTTTTGAGGAACAAATTGAAAGCACTCAGAAAGTCCCAAGTCTCTTCATGTTCATGGACGTTATCTGATAATTCATTCAATCTCATGTTCTTCTTCATTGCATCCTCTTATTTTCACGAATTTGCCTTCTTACAGGGACATTTAGGACGACGGTCGAGCAAGGAAAGACTTACCTCGTGCGACTTATCAATTCGGCCATGAACACAGAGCTATTCTATGCAGTCGCGAACCACACACTCACAGTTGTAGGAATGGATGGGAGCTACCTCAAGCCATTCAATACAACCTACGTCATGATAACCCCTGGCCAAACAATGGATATTCTTCTCAAAGCAGACCAACCCAAAAACTTTTATTACATGGCTGCAAGGGCATATGCTAGTGGTGTAGGAGTCTCATTTGGTAACACCACAACCAGTGGAATTTTGCAGTACAAGGGTTATGAAAACCCTAAAAACAGTTCCTCAATGCCAGTCATCCCATTCTTCCCATTTTTCAATGACACCAAGTCAGCTATGAGCTTCAGCAAAAAGCCTAGAAGCTTAGCCTCTAAAGAACACCCAGTTAGTGTGCCACAAACCGTGAATGATGATATGCTGATCACCGTGTCTGTTAACATAGCTCCATGTGCTAACAGCTCATGTTCGGGGCCTAATGGTAATAGGTTATCTGCAAGTTTGAATAATATCTCCTTCGAGAACCCCTCCATTGATGTGCTCCAAGCCTACTATGCGAGAATTAACGGAATTTACGGCATCGATTTTCCTTCTAAGCCATCCCCTGTTTTCAATTTCACTGGAAATGTTTCTGATGTGGGCAATGCACCTTTTAATGCCACTAAGGTCAGGTTTTTAGAGTGGAATTCGAATGTTCAGATAGTTTTTCAAGGGACCAGTTTAGTTGCAGCAGAGAATCATCCAATGCATCTCCATGGCTATAGCTTCTATGTGGTGGGGCAAGGTTTGGGGAATTATAATAACGAGACTGATCCTAAGACCTTTAATTTGAAAGATCCACCTCATCTTAATACTGTGGGTCTTCCTCTTAATGGATGGGTAGCCATTCGATTCAAAGCCGATAACCCTGGTAATCTCTCTCTCACTGAGAAGTTTTCTATAGCATTGTATATAAACACTGAAGTGACTGAACTGAGTCGGGAACGAGCCTGGTGATTTGGGTAGAGTCCTAGGCCAGATCAGTGAGTCTTAGTTTTGGAAAACGATGCTTCTTTAAGGATATTAGTAGAACTGCTTTTGAGACTTGGACAGATTAGGGTAGACTCTACCAGGCGTGAATCAGACTCGAATCAAACTTGGATTACCCGAGTCTGACTCATCCAGAGCTGACAGACTGCCAATTCAAAGTAACTCGGGTGAATTCATGTCCGGCCTGTAGAGTTTTAAACACTGGTGTGTAACATAACCATCAGTGTTCACAAACTCGAACGGTCTAACTTGGAACCGGCAAGTCAAATCGGAGCTCAACATTGGCCGATATGGTTTTTTGTGGTTTGGTCAGATATTTTTTAAAAATTAAAAAAAAAAGATCTAAAATCTTAAAAAATAAGAGATTTGTTTGTAATATAATTTTTTAGTGTTTTCTATCATTTTGGCAAAGATTAGAAAGTGTTTTGCCCATAAATACTTATTTTTATATTTTTCCATATTTTTTAGAAAAATTCAAAAATACCCTTTGGGTGATATTTTAAAATCCATTTTTTCACTTTTCAAACTTCATTTGAATTTTCTTCGTTTAATCATGCTTTAATTATAATTTTTTTTTTTTTTAGATTTTTTTTAACACTTATTGGACCGACCGGGATCTACCAATTAGGCCGGTTGAACCGCCCGTTTATCGGTTACTCAGACGCAGCCGTTGTCCAGATTTTTTAGGCCGGTTCAATTTTTCGAACACCGATAACTATACAAATTGGGGAGTCCACCAGGAGCACGAGTGTGTGGAACTGTTGGTGTTATTGTACTAATGCACTTATTTATTTTCTTTAATTACAGGTGTGTGGTTTATGCATTGTCATTTGGAGCGCCATTCATCATGGGGAATGAGCACTGTGTTTATTACTAAAAATGGGAAGAATGTAGGTGAAAGAATGTTGCGTCCTCCGGCTAACTTGATTCAATGCTGAGAAGTAAGAGGCCATGAGTCCCAAGAGGAACCCGTATTTATAAATAAACAGAGTGTTTGAAAGGAGTGAGAATATTTGAGTTTTCTCTATGTATAAATGAATTTGATGTATGCATCCGCTGTAGGAATAAATGTGAATTGGTAAACTGCGTTTCCATGAATTATTTATCGCCTACTCTAAGTTTGAACGTTTACTTATTTTGTGGAGAAAAGCATGGTGCATAGTACATGTGCTTACGCATGGGTGCAAATGGAATATAGGGGACCTTAAAGGGCTCTCTCTCTCTCTCTCTCCTATTTCTTTTTTCACTATAATGAATCCTTTTTCCCACCATAATAGATTTTTTAAATGAGATAACCCCCTTGACCCAACTTTCTAAATATTCCCCCCACGGCTAATACTTCTTAACCACAATATTAACCCTAAAATAATTTTTATTTTTTATGTTTGGGACACACCTCCATAACTAAAAGAGTTAGAATTTTTTAAACTAAAATACCCCTACTTTTTAACCCATCTTTAGTCTCTAAAGACCCAATTTAGTTTCTCAGTCTGACCTAATCTGGCACATTTTAGTATCGGGTTGACTTCTATGTGAATTGAAGCCGATTCAGCACATTTTGTGTGGGGTGTGGGACTAGGTTACTGGCTTCTTGGGAGCCAAAAATGGGTTTGGCACTATATATATGTCAGATCGGCTTCTAGGGGAACAGATGGAAATTGCATATGTAGAGTCACATTGGGTCTTTAGTCAAGGGATAGCAACTTGGGTTTAAATTTTGGTTCTAAAAAATTAATTTTTTTACTTGGTGGTGTGCATTGCCTAGACGGTCGGGTCAAGGAGGGTATTTATAATTTTGAAAAGTATACAAAGATGCTATTCATTTTTAGTATAAAGGATGTCGCAATTACTCTTGGATGTCAGATTTTAAATTTGATGGTTGTAAATGTGGCATTGATTAGACTCAAAAAAAATTTAAATTTTTTTTTAGGACTTTGGGGTGATTGTGATTTTAGATGATATCATAATCCCTTATAACTTTCCCTATTTTCTGAAAGGTGTGGTTTGTATAGAGCCTAGGCTCTAAACGATCAAATTAGAGCCTACCTTCAAATAGTGTCGAGAAATGTGGTTTCAATACTGGAAATTTTTTTGATAGCCTTAAAATATATTTTCATCTTTATTTATAAAGTTTAAAAGCTTCAAAATTAATGCAGATCGAGAGATCCATGAAAACTAGAAAATCTTGAAATTTGACAATCCAAAAATACGCTACAAAGCTATCCATTTTTTTCTCATGTCCATGCATCTTGATTTCGAGATGATCAACTTGAGGATATTTGAGCATCAAAACAACAGCTTCTAGTAACAATTTTGAGGTAGGCTCTAATTTGATTGTTTAGAGCCTCGGCTCTATATAAAAATTTGATTGTTTAGAGCCTCGGCTCTATATAAACTTGTCCCTGTTCTAAAATTTGTGAATAGTACGTACGTCGTGTCCATGGCACTTGAACAACAAGGGTGTGGTGTTAAAACCCTTGGTAAGAACAAGTTCATATAACATGTTATTTAGCAATCATCCATGCAATTTCTCTCCACACGGGATTCTACACAATGTGCCTCAAGAATCCCTTCCCAATATATTTCTACACTTTCTCTTGGTAGGGTGGTAAAGAAACACCCTTTTTTTTCTAGAGGAAAACTTGTTGCATATTTCAGAATTTCAGGATTTAAAACACTAAAAATAGCATTAGAAAAATCACCTTCAAAATCCGGCCAAGCGTTAGAAAATCCGCCTTCAGAAAACCGGCCAAGTGCTCGGTTTGAGTAACCGGTAAATCATTCGGTTCAACCGGCCTAATCGGGTATGTCTTGGCAAGTCTAAAAAATGTTAGAAAAATAATAATGAAAAGCATATTTAAAGTATGATTAAACAAAATACATTCAAATAAAATTAAAAAGTAATGAAATAAAATAGATTTTAAAAAATTGATTCGTGCCTAGTTTGAGATAAAAAAGATTGTACAAGTGGGGTTCATTTTGATAATTTTACCTCAAAGGAGGCTTTACAAAACGGAAGAAGTAACCCAACTTGTTTGGGATTAGAAATAATAAATGAGTTTGTGTAGTATTATCTTTGTTACTAAGAAATCACAATTGTTGCTAACCATTAGATATCAAATTGGATGGCTTGAATTATGTTGCAAAGTTCAAATAATTTATTTTGAATTTTGAGGCTAATCAATGACACAGTTACCCGATTTGAAATCTGACCGGATCAAAGTGATTATGATTACCTTGTATTAAAAGTAAAAGATGTCGTTTGTATAAAGCTAAGACCCAAACACTTAAAGTAATGCACACCTTCAAATATTATCAAAAGATATTGTTTCAGTACTGAGAATCTTTGTGATGCCCTGAAAATTTAATTTCATCTCTATTTATAAAATTTGAAGCTTAAAAAATAGTGTAGATTGAGTAGATCTACGAACACTTGAAAATCTTGAAAATTGACGATCTAAAAAATGTATTACAAGATGCACTATTTCCAAAATTTGAAATGTATGTTTTCTCATGTCCATACATCTTAAGGTTGAGATGATCAATTTGAAAGTTTTTGGACATCAAAACAACCTCTTTTACTAAATTTTTGAAGTGCCTCTTAATTTTAGTTTAGAGCCTCACCCTTATATAATTTTTTTTCAAAAATATATAGTCACTCTCGGTGTAATAAATAATTTGTTGAAGACTAAAAAGAGACTATTTACACAAATAGATCATTTACTTTTAGTACAAAGAGATCACATTTTATGTCGGCTTATAGATTTCAAATCTGGTGGTTCGAGCATGTTATTAGCTAGACTTAAGTTTAAAAAAAAAAAACTCAAACCTTTAAGTCGTATCCCAAGCAATTCAATTTAACATATAATGGTTGGAAGCAGGGTTTGAAAACTCGCCGAGTCGAGCCGGATTCACCCGGTTCGACTCGGGAATCGTCTGCAACCGAGCCAATTCCACAAAAAAACCAAGAATCGCCCGTGTCCAGAGAGAACCGGGCGATTCCCAATAGTGAATCGCGAGTCTTACACGTAACCCATGACACCTAAAAAAAATCCACCACACGTGGTAAATCACCTCACATGTCGGCCCTATCGCTTTTTACACGCGCAATGCAACATCTATTACACAGGAATTTATAGAGAACAAAACAACGCTCATCTTTCGATGTGGGATAATTCCCACAAAAACTCATTAAAGCAAGACGATTGAATATTTATTATTATAGAAGCTAATAAAATCACATTAGGTGACGTGGCGGTGTTGGTTGACGTCTCCGATTTTTCGGTGGACATCTAGAGTTCGAATCTAGCGCGCGTCCTCGTTTATATTTTTGTTGTCAAAAAATAAATACAAAGGCCGAACATACTGTTGTAAAAAACTAGAAAAAATAAAAAATAAAAGGCTTTTCAAGATAAAGATAATACAACATTTTTTTTTTTTTGTAAAAAAAATACAAAGTAATATAACAAGTATTTCTTGTAAAAAAAATAAAACAAAAGGAATAAAAAAATAAAATGTACTTTGACAGCATCATTTTTTTATTTTTCTTGTAGAAAAAATAAAAAGTAATACAACAAGCAAAAAAAAATGTAGTACAACATCTTCTTCTTTTGTCAAAAAAAATAGAAAGATAATCAACAAGTATCATATTTTTCTTGTAAAAATAAAATAAAAGATAACACAATAAGTATTTCTTGTCAAAAAAATATAAGGTATTTCTTAATACAACCTAGGAATAAATGGTCTAATTATATTTTTTATTTTTATAACATGATGGTCTTTAACATAAATTTAGTAATATTAATTTAAAGATATGATTCATACAATGAGGCCATTTGAAATCTCTCTTTCTACTAACAATCTCTTTCACTAATTTATTCTAGAAACCTAAAAAATTAAAGAAAATTGGTACGCATTCTAATAAATTTTGCATTGATAACCAAATCTTTTATTTTATTTATTAATTTTTGTGTTATAAATCATGTAGTGTACTATTTTTATTACAGTCGTCAATAATACATTTTAAAATTGTAATGATGTTATAC